TGTTAATAGTTACCTTTCTAATCTTGCTCTCTACTCATTTTTAAACATAAAATTGTATTGCATATATTATTTGTTCTGTTTTTTATTTTTCATCTGTGTGTTCTGTCTGCATCTTTGCTTGTATGTGACCACATGAAAGCCTGGTGCCATGCAGGTCAAAAGAGGATCCCATAGAACTGGAATTACAGATAGCCGTGAGCCACGTGGGAGCTGAGCCCTGCACCCCAGTCCTCTCCAAGAGCAGCAGATGCTCTTAACCACCAAGCTGCTTCTCCAACCCCACCCATCTCCCCTCCTTGGTTTTTTGTTTGTTTGTTTGTTTTGTTTTGCCAAGGAGAGAGGCCACTAAGTCCTGAAGATGGTCAGGCAATGGGGAGACGTCATGTGGGACTTCCCAGGAAAATGGAGGAGCATAGCTAGTTCTGTCCCTATGCCCTACTCCCCACCAGCCACAGATGCTACAGGCAGCATCCTTCAAGCACCTCTTTCCTTCCCGCAGTCTTTGTCTTGATGATCTTCCTAAGCTAGCTACATACCAGTCCCTGGGAGCAGCCAGCTGCAATCCACCCCAAGCCTAGTCTTACCTGCACACCCCTGACTGGTTGGCTTCAAGGCCAAAGGGAACCTTACCACCCCAAACATCCAGTTTCCCTTCCTGCCCCCGCCTACGAGGACCCACTGAACTTGGATTGGGGAGGTGGGTGTTGGATGGGGCTCAGAGGATTGAGGTAGATGCATCTGTGATGACTCACATGCCACCCGAAGGGAAAGGGAAAGAGGGACTAGGGGATGAATGGATTGCGAGTCAAAGGGGGGGGGCGGAGGAGAGGCGCTCCAGTGCCTCAATTGGCCCGCGTCAATTTCTTCCCAGCATCTGCAGTGCGTGGGGCTGAGTGATCCCATCCCAGAGTGGGGGTAGCGCTGTGAGGCTGGCTGACGTTTGCTTCCCGCCTGCTGGGCCGGCTGCAAGCGGTTCATGAATGACTCACCACATTGTCAGGCTGATTCACTGCTCCGCTAGGGACTTGTAGAGGGGGGCTGCAGCCCTCTCTGTACGTCTTCCGCGTACGCACTCACACGCATATGTACGCAGGTGGGACTCCAGCAGGGCTTCTTACATGCCGGGGTTAGGACTCCACCATGATGATAGGAAGGCAATCTGCATCACCTGGTACATTAGGGAACAAGTTTGGGATTTCTATTAATATCCCTGAGGCTATTTCCATCGCATCCTTAGTTTCTTAGTCAAACTAGCCACATTTCATGTGCTCAATAGCCACGAGGGGCTAGTGGCAACTCCAAAGGACAGTGCGTTTATGCAGTGTACATTTCCATTGGCATCAGAAGTTCTATTGCACAGCTGGTTTATATACATGGAGAGCACACTAACAATCCACCATTTTCTCACACAGCCACACAAACAGAGCAGCCCTTCCCCCGACTCCCATATGTGGCCCACAAAACACATCAAATGCCACACACGCTTAACATGCGACACCTACCCGCAAACACAACACAAAACTCTGTATATACACACTGACTCTCCAGTCTGCCACTGTCCTTACAAGGCACACAAACGCATGCATCAAACTGGTTCCCATTCGGTTGTTCTTATGATAAAAACATGAATTAGGGTGAAGCGCATGTGCAAACATGCTGAAATAGATACAAACCCAAACCATGTGGTTCCCATAACTATTCCTCACATAAGTTTGCAAGCTCAAGGAGGGGGGGAGGGATTCCATATTTGCGGAAGCCTCGCCTACAGGCCAGGCATGGCATGAAGTTAGCCACTTCAATGCAATTCATTTAATCTCACAGAAACTCTGCAGAACTCGGTTTTCATGCACAAAGCAACAAAGGTTCTGAGAGGTAAAGTAACTTACTTGAGATCGCATGCCAATTAGCAGGAAACTCAAACATGTTCTTCTAACTCCATAGCACTGTCTTTAACCCCACTCCCTACCGGGGGCGCACGTGTGTGTGTGTGTGTGTGTGTGTGTGTGTGTGTGTGTGTGTGTGTGTGGTGTGTGTGTGTGTGTGGTGTGTGTGTGTGTGTGTGTGTGTGTGTGTGTGTGTGTGTGTGTGTGGTGTGTGTGTGTGTGTGGTGTGTGTGTGTGTGGTGTGTGTGTGTGGTGTGTGTGTGTGTGTGTGGTGTGTGTGTGTGTGTGTGTGTGTGTGTGTGTGTGTGTGTGAGCTCCCTTTGTACTTAAGTAAAACTCCTTCACAACCAACAGCAGCTATTCACAGATGTGGGCCTGGACTTGCCCAGCTCATCCACTCTTTTTTCTGGCAAAGGCCATTACATCATTCGACAAATGCGTGTGCAGTGTCTTCCGCATACTAGGTACTCATTCACAAAAGATGAAGAAGCTGCAAAAGCCAGGCCTGGTGGCACACACAGTCCCAGCACTCAGGCGGAGGAACGTGGATGCTGCAAGGCCAGCCTAGGCCAGATTTTGGCACCCTGTTTCAACCCCCCAAAAGAAAGCGACAAGACCTGACCAAAAGAAGCACGCAGTCCATCAAGGAGTGGAGGAGACCCCACAGAGAATACAGGACACAAAGGAGGCATCAGTTACAATGGAAGTAGGTCTTGAATGCAGATAGCTGAGGACAAGAAAACATGGGTCTCTCCAGGCAGTTAAAAATTACTTCTGCGCCGGGCATTGGTGGCACACGCCTTTAATCCCAGCACTCGGAGGCAGAGGCAGGCGGATCTCTGTGAGTTTGAGACCAGCCTGATATACAAGAGCTAGTTCCAGGACAGCCTCCAAAGCTACACAGAGAAACCCTGTCTCGAAAAACCAAACCAAACCAAACAAAACAATTTTGGGCCTTGTACCTGCTAAGCAAATACTCAGCACTGAGCTATACGCCCAGCCCTAAGAATTTCTACAGCAGAAGAATCTGGGTGTCCTGCGTATGTTAAAGGTAGGCCTGAGTGCTGCAAGTGTAGTTCAATGGTTAGTACACTGTACACGCAGGAGCAAGGTCCTGGGCTCCATCCATTCATACACTGCAGATAAACAAAAAACCAGATTAACAAAACAACCAAAACCTTGGAAACTAGGGGGACTGCTCCGGAGTTACCGCAATAAGCCTCTCAGGAACTGTAAGGTAAGTCCTGGCTTAAGCATATAAGGCATCTAGAGAAGACCAAAGGTCAGGGGAGAGAGGGTGTGTCCTGTTCCTCAGAGAACTATAGCCTCCTGACAGGCAGAAATATGACTAAAGAGACAAATTCTTCCTTGGAACAAGGCACATGTGCACACGCACATGATGTTTTGCACATAATTATAGGGCATTGTCTTCCCTGGAGCCTCGGGTTAAAAAAACTCAGTTCCCTGGAATTCTAAGAAGCAAAATGACATAGCAGTTAAGTTGTAGATGCTGAAGTATGCCTGCCTGGGTTCTGGTCTCTCAACTCCACCTCCTCTTAGCTATGTGAACTTGACCACTTGACCCTAAAACTGTACCTGGAACACACATAGACTTCCAGGAATTTTGGCTGTTATCAACACATGTTAAATCAGAGTGCTTGTCACTACTCAGGTATCTATACTGGCCTGCCCTTAGGGTTCTGACAGGATACCCCCTCAGCTGCAGCCACTAAGAACACCACCTGTGCACATTCACTACTTTCCCTTTTAAAAGGAATGGCCCTGCTCACTTCCCATTTCTCCCTCTGTCTCTAGTTCTCTCGCTCCCTTCCTCCTTCCCTCTCTCCTTCTCTGCCTGTCTGTCTCTTCTTGTCCCCTCCCCTCTGTCTCTGCCTCTCCTCTTCTCTTCCCTTCCCTTCTCTTCCCTCCCCTTCCCTTCCCTCCCCTCCCCTCCCTTCCCTTCCCTTCTCTTCTTCTGTCCCCAGAGTCTGGTCTCCCCTCTCCCCTTTTCCCATTCACTTTCCCAAGCTCTGCTGAATGGTGTCTTTCTCTCTTGTGCACTCCTTTTCTAAATTACAACAGTGCCGAGACCCTTCCAACTACTTAACTCTTCACCCCACTCCATCGAGGGTCTTTGGTTTTGGTCTTCCAGGTGAAGCCCCAGCACCCACTTTTTCCATTTATAAACTTACTAATTCCTTTTTGGTCTGAGTTTCCACTCTTCTGAGACCCAGCTATTAAGGAGTTTAACATGCATTGGGCATGGTGGTACACACCTTTGATCCCAGCACTCAGAAGGCAGAGACAGGCGGATCTCTGTGAGTTCAGGGCTAGCTTGTCTACAGAGCCAGTTCCAGGATACCCAAGACTACACAGAGAAACCCTGTCCTGAGAAACAAAATAAAAAACAACAAAAAAGAGTTTAGCATTCTTCTTGTTTCTCTCTCTTCCCTCCCTCCTTCACTTCCTTCTTTGAAAAGGTCTAACGGCTAAGGCTAGCCTAGAACACTCTCTTCTCACTCAACCTCCTGAGTGCTGGAATCACATGCATACATCTTCATGCCCAACTAAGGCCCCTTTTCTAGAAGAAGGAAGACGACGTAGGCTTCTTTACTATGAAGACCCTGTTTTTTCTGTTGAGGCGGCAATGTTAGGAAAATGAACACATTAGATATGGATACTTTGGAGGACAGACAGGAAGGACCCTTGCCAACTTTAGAGTCACACACAGCCTCCTCACCGAAACTTGCTAGCCCTCCCTAAAATGTTCCATCAACGCTGGGGGGGGGGGCCTGGGTTCCATTGGGAGGTAGAGGAAGGACAATTAAGAGTTATGGTTACTTTTAGCTACAAAGTGAGTTTGAGCTCCTGTGTACGGTCGGCTGGGTTCTGGTGAGGATGAAGTCACTCTCAAATCACCAGTCATTAGTGTGTTCAGCATAAAAGAAGTGGGAAATAAGATTGGTTGTCCAAGGTTTTGTCAACCTCGTATTCACTTCAACGCTGCAGTGGAGTGGGCTCAAGAAACCGCTTGGGGGCGACCGAGAGCCCACAGTTTCCCCTTTAAGGCTGAGGCGGAAGACCAGAGGGAGAAGGCCTTTGTGTCGGCAGGATAAAAACATGAGGCCTCCCCTTTAAGAGGGCGGAGCCACGGTTATGGCGGCGGCTTCGAATGCCGCCCTGGACACACACTCTTAAGCCTCTTGGCGACTTCCTCTCAACTTCCGCTGTGGTCTTAGAGACGCTTCTCTCAGGCCCTGCTTCGGGTGTACGGCCGGCCACAGTGCCCCACTTACATCTGGGTCGAGTTGGAGGTGGACCCTTGGGTCTGGTACGACCGGGCCAGTCCACCCGCCCGAGCGCGACCGTCGTTATGGTAATGCCGCGCCCACGCCGCCTCCGGGTGGGAGTGGGGGCGGGGGTCACAGCTGCAGGGATGCCAGACTCCGGGTTTCGGCTGGACGCTCGGTGAATCTGCCGGGATGGGGTGTGGGTGCAGAGCTGGGTTCTAGGCACGCACGCGCCGGAGACCTTGCGAAAGGACCTCCCCCGACAGACTGACAGACAGACAGACAGACAGACAGACAGGCCTACCTACAGACACACTCGCGCACGCACCTCCTTCCCCTCTACTTCCCGTCTCTCTTAGGAGAAATAGTCATCAATCCCTGTGTCCCCAGACATCACCCACCGCCTTTTGGAATCACCCCCTCCCAACCCTCGCGACCCTTGAACATCTCGCCCCCACCCCCTCCCCTGGCTGTGGGGTTGACACTCCTCTGAACCTATTGTCCAGAAAGAAACCATAGAGCGGGACATCCCACCCTCTTGGTAATTTAGCCTTTGGGCTTTGAACTTCTGTAGAAAGAAACCATTGGTTTGGTTCTCAGAAACAGGACTCCATGCCAGAATTTATGGTAGTTTCTTGTGTTGGACAAACCTTTGGGATGTTGTTGCAAAATCCTCAGGCCTGACATCCAGAAGTGGTACAGGCATGTAATCCCATCCCTTGGGAAAAGAGACTCAAGTTCAAGGTCAGGGCCTGGGGAGACGGCTAAGCAGGTAAAGGTGATCACCTCTGATGGCCTGAGCTCCATCTCTGGATCAGGGAGGGAAGAGCGGAACTGACTCCCTCAAATTGTCTTCTGAGCTCTACACCCACAGAGTGATGCCCGACCCCACTAAATGAATATATGTATATATATTTTTTTTTACAAGAGTTGAAAATTACCTTCATCAACATAATGGGTTTAAGGCCATCCTGGGCTGCTTGAGACCCTCTGTCTCAACAACAAAAACCCTCAATCGATTGTGCACAGTGCTGACCCTGAAGATCTGTCTTTGCTTCCCTTGGTATTTCTCGATCTTTTCCCATCCCCTCTCTCTAACTGTAATTCAGATAGATGATTATGTTTTCTTTTACACAAAAACATTTTTAAGTCTTTACCTAAATTGGATTTCTTCTTTCTTTCCTTATCCAGTACTAACCAAACAGAACCCAGAAAAACAGTACACTTGATAGTCTTGTTAGAGCAGGGAGAAGATAATGAACACAGAGTGTTCTTACAGCGTTTCTCCTCCAGCCTCAATTGCTTTGTTTTTCTTTTCAGATGTGTAGTTTTCAGAAGCTGTTTGCTGTGGAAGAGGAGTTTGAAGATGAGGTAGGGAAATGTTGATGATCAGAGATTGCAAGGAGGCCCCGCCCGGATGGAAACACCCAGGCTCAGAGCATTTGGAGCAGTCCCATCATATGTGTCTTATTCTTTTTTTTTTTTTTATCTATAAGAGCCTGGGGATGTAAATAAATACAAGCAACCACCAAAATTGGTGCTATATGCTTGTAGTTTCAGTACTCAGGAGGCTCATGCAAGAAGATAATAAACCCAAGGCCAGCCTGGACTATATAAATAGACTGCACAACAACAGCATATTTAATTTGTTTTGTTTTCTCAAGACAGGGTTTCTCTGTGTAGCTCTGGCTATTCTGGAACTCACTCTGTAGATAAGGCTGGCCTCAAACTCACAGAGATGCGCCTGCCTCTGCCTCCCGAGTGCTGGCATTAAAGATGTCTGACACCATGGCCCCGCTAAATTTAACTATCTTAAAAACAAAACAAGTGCCAGGCGTTGGTGGCGCACAGCTTTAATCCCAGCACTCGGGAGGCAGAGGCAGGTGGATCTCTATGAGTTCGAGGCCAGCCTGGTCTACAGAGTGAGTTCCACGACAGCCTCCAAAGCAATACAGAGAAACTCTGTCTTGGAAAAAAACAAAAAACTAGATGCGGTAATGCACATGGTAATCCCAGCACTTGGGAGCCAGAGGCAGGAGGATCTGTATTGGGTCAGCCTGGTCTACAGAGTGAGTTGCAGGACAAGCAGGGCCCTGCCTCCAACAAACAAACAAAACAAAACAAAAGGGCTGGGGTTTGGCAAGTGGGTACAGTGCCTGTTCATCTTGAAGCCCTGACCTGAGTCCCCATGCTCTGAAGAAAACCAGTGCTCTCACAATTCCAGCATTTGAGAGGTGAGGCAAAAGGACCAGAAGTTGAAGGTCACCTCTAGTACATAGAGAATTCAAAGCTATTCTGGGCCACATGAGATCCTGTCTCAAGAAAGCAAAAAACAAATTAGCTCCCTAACTGTAACTGTCATGCCTTTAATTATAAGGACCTTTCTGGGAGCTATCTCAAGGGTGATTTCATCCAGTTTTAGAATAGCATCCACTTTTAGAATAGCATTCCTGAGGTGGAAAGAGTTCATGGGGAGCCAGAATCGGGAGGAGGCAACAGTTAGCTGGATGACTCCAGACCTGAAGGCACCAACTAGCATGTGGACCATGGCAGATTATTTTCCAGCCTCCTACTGTCTCGTCTCTACTATGAAGGACATTGCTGTGCCTCACATTTTCTTCTCAAAAGATAAGAAATTAAATGAGATACAAAGTCAGCATATCAGACTCCTGTGTAAGCTTTACCCATGCCAATTAAATGAGAGTTCTGGCCGGGGCATTTCACTAAGTCCCTTACTGGCCATGTGAACCTGGGAAAATCCATTTGTTCTCTGACCTTCCTGGGCCATTTCCAACAGGAGTCTTGCCTTTTCATTGGTAGTGCTAGTGATCAAACTGGCCACATCCCTAGTCCTTCCTGAAGAGGTATCGCTGAGTCTGTGGTTTGTTTGGAGACAGGGTCCCTTTGTGTAGTAAAGGCTTGCCTTGAATTTGAAACCATCTTGCCTCAACCTCTGGAATGCTGGGATTACAGGCATGTGCCACTATGCCTGACTATAGAGGTATTTTAAAGTACAATCAGAGACTACCAGACTAGTCTCTATAACTGTCTTCATGCTCAGAGCCAATGGATGTAGTTTTGTCTAGAGCTAAGGCGTGGGTTTCTATACTGATGTTCCTGCCTCTGCTTCTGCACTCTGGGGTTAAAGCTCACAGTGCTGCATGCGGCAGGAGCTCCTTTGTGCTTCTCAGTTCCTGTCCTAAACCAAGAGGGTTCTAGCCCTGGCTCTGGACCAATCCAAGTCTTGGGTTCTTCTTCTTCTTTTTTTTTTTCTTTTTTTCTTTTAAATTGTATGTATGTAGTGTGTGTGTGTATGCGCGCACATGTGTGCCCACTACATGTTCATGTAGATGCCCATGGAAGTCAGAAGAGGGCATTGGATCCCCTGGAGCTGGAGTAACAGATAGTTGTGAGTCACTGGACCTGAATGCTGGGATCTGAACTCTGGAAGAGTAATGAGTGCTCTTAACCACTGAGCATCTTCCAGCCTCAACAATTCTCAGTTTCTGCATCCATAAGATGAGAATTATCAATACCTATCCATAGGCTATTGTGAGAATTCACTGAGGATTCTAGTAAGATACCTGCTACCCAATGAAGTTACAAGTGTTTGTTGTTTGTGTCATGGTAAATTGAGCTTTATATTTGCAAGTTATCCAGTTAGTTTTTCTCCCTACCTTCCTCCCTCCTTTCTTTCTTTTCCTTTTTTTTTTTTTTTTTTTGGTTTTTCAAGACAGGGTTTCTCTGTGGTTTTGGAACTAGTTCTTGTAGACCAGGCTGTTCTCAAACTCACAGAGATCCACCTGCCTCTGCCTCCCTAGGGCTGAGATTAAAGGCATGCACCACCACCACCACCCAGCTTTCTTTCTTTTCAAGGGGATATCACTGTGTGGCCCTGGCTATCTTAGAATTCACTCTGTAGACCAGGCTGGCCACGAACTCAGAGGTCTGCTTACCTCTGCCTCCCAAGTACTGGGATTAAAGGCATGCACCACCACCCAGCTTCTGTTTTGTTTTTAATGAGACAGTCTCAGTTTGGACTGACCCCAGATTGCGGTGTATGTAAGGATGACGTTGAACTCCTGGTCCTTCTTCCTCCTTCTTCATCGCTGGCATTGTAAGAGTGTGCCATCATACTCATCTTCTTTGTGGGTTTTTGCTCAGTACTACCAGCTTTATCAAAATCTGTCCCTGCCTTTAACTTTCAGTTATGGAGATGTGTCATGAGAGGCTGAAAAGGAGCTGTGAAAGTGATCCTCTTGGGTCTTAGCAGGTGACAGTAGACCTGCTGGGCAGTAATGGAATTAGGACGAAGGGTTCAGACTGCTCACATTTTTGTTCCTTGAAAATGGCAGACCAGTCCCTTTCTCGATTCCCAAGGCAAGTGATGTTACAGCAAGTGTCAACTCTGTGGGAGGAAAGAGGACCATCAGTCCTCAGGATGATCAGATCCTGCCCTTCTGCTCATTGTGTGGCTAGAGTGCAGCATTCTGGATGAATGTCTAAAGCAGGAAAAATCTCTTTCTAGTCCAGACACTCCAGAGCAGCAGGAGGGGCTGGGGGTGGATAGCACCTTCCTGTCACTTAATCAGCAGTTCTGACTCAAAACACCCTCAGAACAGGTCTGTTGCTCTTGAAGGTGTCAATCTCACCTTGCTTCCCAAATGCAATCCATACTTAATTTAACTTGCATGAGAAGCTATATTTAACTGCTGTCTTTGGCTGGATCCAGGGGCTTTCTGTCCTACTGAAGACTGTGGGTGTGAGTATGCGTGGTAGAGGTAAGGAGGTGAGGGACTGCATGACCAATGGGGTAGCTCTCCGCTGTCCTGACTGAACACTAGCCAGTCTCCTTCAGATGCCCATGTGACCTTGTGGGGTGCCTTAGGCTTCCTGGTACCCTGGGATGCTCTTCCTGTTGCTTTCCCAGTAAGCCTCCTCCTGGAGACTGAAGAGTAACTCCCTGAAAATCTAGCCTTAGAATGCTTCTGCCGTAAGCCTGGGTGACCCACTGGCTCATAGAGGGGTCATAAGTAGTGAGAAATGCCACCATTGCCTTCATGTCTTGGTTTCTTGCTTGTGTGTGTATCTGCACACATACATACTATATGCTTAAACAGAAAAAGTAGAACGTTTTGTTTGTTTTTATTTTTTGGGAGCAGATTTAAGTTCCCAGATACAAAGACCCTGCCAAATGTGGTAGCACTGGCCTGTAATACCTTCACTTGGGAGGTGGAGACAGAGAGTGGGAGTTCAAGGTCATCCTCAGCTACATAGCAAGTTGAACAAGGCCGTTCTGAGCTACATGAGATACTGTCTTAGAAGCAAAAAACAAAAACGCTGATGCAAGGCCCGCTTTCTCTGTTTCTTTGAAGGACTTCTTATCTGCCGTGGAGAATGCAGAGAACCACTTTTCCGGTGCACTACCTGGGAATGCTGGCCACCTGACACCTGTTTCTTCCAGACCACAGGAGACTCTGCAAGCACAATCCTCAAGACCGTTGCCGTCATACCCCACTTCTTCGAGCCGGCCAGTCCCAGGACTCTGTCTCCCTACTCCCAGCAAACTCCAGACCATCAGGGATCCACTCTGTTCAGGAGCAGCGTCCCTGAGACCCTCCTGGATCCCTGGCGGCGGCACGGGCAGTCATCGAAGAACAGTGCCGGCAAGAGTGCTCCAGGAGTCATCAGGACCCCAGTCCTCAGCCGCACACTCTGGGCTTGTCTCTGGGAGCCATCAGCAGGGCATGGGTGGCTTTGAGGCCCCTGATCAAGATGAGTTTGACAAGGCCCTGGCAAGCATGGAGCTGGAGGGAGCTGGCTTGGAGCTAGAACTTGGAGTTGACAGTGGAGCCACCCAAATCCTGCCTGTTCAGCACCGTGAAGATCTTGTATTGGCGAAAAGGGCCAGAGTGGCTGACCTGAGTGGATCTTTTCAGAAGGGGCCCATTGACCGCTGTAGGAATCCAGGGCCTTCCTTGAGACCCCGAGCTGCAGGCAGCCTTCCTCTCCCATCTGCCTCAGCAGTTTCCTGTTCAAGAGGCCCCCCTGTTCCTGCACCTCAACCCCTCCAAGTATCTGGGAGGCCCCTTGAGAGCATCCCACAGAGTCATTTGCCTGGTCAGCCATGCCAGTCTCCCAGAGCTTGGACAAGTGGCACACCCCGTTTTCCTGGACCTCGACGTCCCCACTGCAGCTCTGCAGCTTCTCCTCAGGGACCCTTGCCATCCCGAGCCCCAGTGTCTTCTGCTGACTCTCCGGTCAGCACCCCCAGAGGTGCTTCCGCCCCAGCTCCTCAGCCAGCTCTGCAGACACCTATAGTCACCAATCACCTGGTTCAGCTTGTCACTGCTACCAACCGGACACCCCAGCAGCCCTCCCACCCCTCCATTCGAGCTAAAGCCCGCCGCTTCCCTGGCCCGGCAGGACTTTTGCCCCACCAGGTGAGTGACCAGTTTTCCAGGACATTAGGATCCAGGGGAGGAGACAGTGGTTCAGGCTTAGACTCTCTTCGAGACAGGCAAAAGAAGTGGGGAGAAAGCATTTGCATGGGCTGGAGAGACGGCTCCATCGGCACAGTGCTTACCGTGCAAGCATGATCTGCAGAACCCATAGGAAATGAAAACTGGGCATAGGAGGCTCACACCTGTAATCCCAGCACTCGGGAGACAGAGGCAGGTGGATCTCTGAGTTTGAGGCCAGCCTGGTCTACAGAGTGAGTTCCAGGACAGCCTCCAAAACTACAGAGAAACCCTGTCTCGAAAAAAAAAAAAAAGAAAAAACAAAAACAAAACAAAGTAGGAGCTGGAGAGATGACTCAGAGGTTAAGAGTACTCGGTACTCTTACAGAGGACCTGAGTCAATTTCTAACCTGCACACGGTGATTCATAGCTGTCCGTAACTCCAGTCCTAGGGAGCTGACAGCCTTTCCTGACATCTGTGAGTACCAGGCACATAGGTGTATGCCCACAGAACAGCCATACAATAAAATAATAAATAATTCTGTAAAGTAAAACACAAGGTAAAAAGTGCCTCATGTCTCCCAAGGAAGGCATCTGAGGTTGTCATCTGCCTCCACATGTGTGCACACGCACACTTAAGCACACGCACACATATGTAAACAATAAGATTTGCAAAGCTGTAAGAGTCCAAAGTGGGAGGGAAGGAGTGGCTCAGAGGTAGAGCTCACACCTGGCAGACGAGGCTCTGAGCTCCAAGCCCGGCACTGATGGGGTGGGGAATGGCTTGCCTGCGAGGGTCTTCCTCAGATGAATGGAGGTGGGAAGGGCCACCTTAATTGTGCGATGCTCCATTCCATGGGCTGCGGTCCTGGACTGAATACAAAAGAAAGTATAGTGAGCACTAGCATCCATCACCCCCTGCTTCCTGATGGTGAATACAGTGTGACAAGCTGCCTTAAGCTCTTGCTTGCCACTGTGAGTTATCTGCTAGGATTGGTGTCCCCTGTAAGCCAAGTAAACCTTTCCTTTAAAACAAACAAATGGACAGGAAGAATACTCGGCAATCTACCTGTGAAATAGTGCTTGAGAGACTCAATTTCCTAGTTTTGAATGCTTGGGTGCTGTTGTTTTCTCACTCACATTAGCTAAGAGGTAGATACTGGGAGTCTTACTTGGCACTGAGAGCAATTGCAGTGTGGTGGAAGAAGTCGGTGGGCATGGATGACCATGCACTAAGGACGCAGTGAGAGTAGGGGTCTTTCCTTGGCCCCTGGGACACGTTGGCTCTGCCTTGGCCCTGCTCGGTGGCCTTGGGTAGATGACTAGGAGGATAAAGGGGGGATGGGGTTGTTCCAGCAGTGGGAAGACAGAGGCTAAAGAGCAGGTGCTCTCAGGGACCACAAAGCACTTCACTGAGGCTGGCGTGGGGAAGCGGGGGTCGGAAGTGAAGCGGCCCTACAGAGTTTGTATGTAAGTGGTGGTGAAGGGATAACTAGTTTTGTTTGAGTTAGATGCCAGGTAACTGGGCACTGGGGCTTTGCTCTGGTTACAATAGGAATCTTCCTGGTATGGGAGGATTGACACAGTCTCTGTTGTTGCTTGCTCTTCCTGCTCCTTCAGGAGAAATGGAGGGGCGTGGTCTGCACTTTCCCCAAGAAGGGCTTCTGGGAGATCTGCTCAATAACTCCTCACAGACCCCTCTATTTGGGTCACTGCCCCCTTCAGGTAGCACTGGGCCTTGCTTCTGGGCCAGCTCCAGTTTCCTTTTATTCCCAGACTGATCCCCAAGTGTCTTTTTAGCTACCAATGAGGCTCTTGAGACTGCATTAGGAGCAATGTACTGTGTGCTAATTGTCCCTGATAGTTTCCTGAACCCATTGTGTAACCCAGACAAGGCGCTGTACTTGTAGATAACAGCTGCTGAGCTCGCTCTCACCTTCTCTTCCCCTCTTAGCACAGCGGGAAGAATTTGGAGGAGATCATGGTTTCCACACCCCAGACTCCGACTCATGGTGCTCTGGCTAAACTCCAGACTGAGGTAACTTTCTTCAGTGTAAATCTTCACTTCTTGGGCAACGTTTAACAGTGAGGGGTGGGATTGGAGAGATGACTCAGAGCACTGACTGTTCTTCCAGAGGTCCTGGGTTCAATTCCCAACACCAACATGGCAGCTCACAACTGTGTGTAACTCCAAGATCTGACACCCTCACACAGGTATACATGCAGGCTAAACAAGAATAAATAATTTGCCGGGTGTTGGTGGCACACACCTTTAATCCCAGCACTTGGGAGGCAGAGGCAGGCGGATCTCTGTGAGTTCGAGGCCAGCCTGGTCTACAGAGCGAGTTCCAGGACAGCCTCCAACACAATACAGAGAAACCCTGTCTCGAAAAAAAAAAAAGAATAAATAGTTTATATATAATATAAATATATATAAACTGTCTCAAAAAAAAAGTGAGGGGCATCTCTGCATGCCTCAGTTGATGTGATACTGTTAGTTTGGCCTATACCAAAGGGCAGGTGGAAAAAGTTGGGGGAGGCAGCAGTTTTACAGACATAGAATGAGGCCTCTCCTGATGCCGTGGCTCAGCCTTCTCTTCTATCTGAGAACTACAGGCCCAGCTAGCTGCATCTTTCCCTAGGGAGGACAGTGTAATAAGTCTTATGAGATGGTATCTTGGGAACCCTCTTGGGTTTCTGGGAGCTGAGCTGGGAAGGATCCGCCCTCATCTTGTCTCCAGGATGTTCCCTTTCAGTGGGTAGGACAGCTTCCCTCCCTCCTGGGGCTCTAATTGACTTACTCTGTCTTCACACCCACCTTTGCCTTTAATCCTCTCAGGCTTGCTTTTGCTGCAGCTCCCCGGGGCTGCCTGTCCACTTCAGATCCAAACCTGGTAGTAACATCTGGATTCAAAGCAGTTGTTGATACAAGGCAACTAATGATTAAAACCAGGGGCATCACCCAGAGTGGTGGTGCCTGCCTTAAATCCCCAAGCTGGGGAGGCAGAGGCAGAGGCAGAGGCAGATGGATCTCTGAGTTCAAGGCAAGCCTGGTCTAGAGTGTGGACAGCCAGGGTTGTTACTTGTAATGCAGGAAAACCTTGTCTCAAAAAACCAAACCAAAACAAAAACAGGGGCATCTACCAAAAACAAACAAAGCCAGTAGTGGTGGTGCTAGGGAGGCAGAGGCAGTGGGTCTCCCAAGTTCGAGGCCAGCCTGGTCTACAGAGTGAGTTCCAGGACAGCCACACAGAGCAACCCTGTCTAGAGAAACAGAAAGAAAGAGAAACAAAGGAGATAGATAGATAGATAGATGCCGGTGCAGCTAGGTCACATGCCACTTTCTACTCATTACGGTAATGGAGAGCATCCCTCCCCACCCCAGCCCCCACCCCACCCCAAGAACTCACTTTCTTCCCCACCCATCTGCCCTGACTCAGGCAAGTGTCTTTCCCAAGGTAGATCCACTCACTAATTCAGGGTCCCCTCTGCTCCGTGGTTCCAGATTGTTACTAGTTCCCAGGGATCAGTGGAAGAAGATTTTGGGCACGGGCCGTGGCTCACCATGAAGTCTGCTCTGGGCCTGGACGATAGAGACCCCACCTGCTTCCTGTATACCTACAGTATTGTCATGGTGCTGCGCAAGGTAAGGTTCTAGAGAACAGACTGCAGCCTGCTCTGCCTTAGGAAGAGGCTGCCTGTCACCTCTTACCCCAGTCCTGTCCCTGGAGGGCAGCCTGAAGTCCCATCAGTCGTAAGTTTGCACTGTTATCCACAGTTCTGAGCATACCTCTGCACTTCCAGGCACCAGGTTGAGAGAGAGAGAGAGAGAGAGCACATTGTCCCCCTGAGAACTCCTAGAGGTCCCTCCCTCATGTACAGATGCATGTTGTATGTGTGGCCTGCTTTGATGGCGTGAGCCACAAACACCGGTACAAAAGGAAAGGCACCTCAGAGAAAGAGAAGGATGTGCCAGCTTCAGCCTCTACGGGGCAGAAGTGTGCCCTTCCACCTGCCACAAAGGAAGGCTGTTACCATCCGCTGGTAGCCGTAGGGAGTTACATGTGGGCATGGTTAGCTCAGTAAATGTGTCTCCTTGTAAGCAGGCAGCCCTCAAGCAGCTCCCCAGGAACAAGGTCCCCAAAATGGCAGTGATGATCAAGTCCCTGACTCGGAGCACAATGGACGCCAGTGTGGTTTTTAAGGATCCCACAGGTAAGGAGTGGGTCCTAGGTTTCTTTTTTTTTTTTTAATTATTTATTTATTATGTGTACAGTGTTCTGCCCAGGCCAGAAGAGGGCACCAGGTCGAATTGCAGATGGTTGTGAGTCAGTATGTGGTTGCTGGGAATTGAACTCAGAACCTCTGGAGGAGCAGCAGCCAGTGCTCTTAACCTCTGAGCCATCTTTCCAGCCCAGGGTCCTAGGTTTCTTATGAATGACCTCCATTGAGGGCAAGAGCCCACTTCCCAGCCAAGACTCAGACCCTCTGCTGTGGCCTTGACCCTGAGATGGAGGCCATGTGGTTTTTGCAGGAGAGATGCTTGGGACAGTGCATAGGGTACTTCTGGAGACACATCAGAATGAGCTGAAGCCTGGCTCGGTGCTGTTGCTGAAGCAGGTAGGGGAACTCCAGAAGGGACCTGCTGCGGGGAGGAGCCCCAGGGTGTCGTTGCTTGGCTTGGCTGCCTTCCCTCCACTGCCAACCAAGCAGAAGCGAGGGCCTGGTTTGCTGGAGCTGAGAACAAGCCTCTGGCCAGTGAGCTGCTCCACTCATCAAGGGTAAATGGGGTAGGGAGTTATATTTGGGGTGGTAAGTGGGTCTGTTGTGTGTGTGAATTGGGTGCAGAGGACGGGGAGCCAGAGGAAAACTGGCTCCCGGTGGTCGTCCAGCAGCGCCGTGCTCCTCCAGACACTGACTCCCCTTCCTAACTGCAGATCGGAGTGTTCTCTCCTTCGCTCAGAAACCACTACCTCAACGTGACACCCAACAACCTGGTCCATATTTACAGTCTAGATTCTGGGGATGGGGACTTCCTCAAGCCACCTCAGCCCTTGCCGAAGGTAAGTAGGTCAGGGTAGACGGTGACTGGCAGAACTTTCTTGCCTGGTTTCTCTCATTTCTTCCTTTCCTCATCCCTGGAGGCAAAGGTGCGAAGGGGCAGGCCCACTGAGGTGAAGAGGTGCTTTTGGGAACAAGAGTCCCCACTGCCCTGCTCCACCACCTGCCGTCCGCCAAGTAACAGTAATACGGGAGCAGCTGGCTTCCTGGCGATCCCTGAATGTCTGATAGCAGACTTGATCAACTGAGAAGTTGGGAGTCACTTGAGAACCAGGTGAGGGCTCCCTGGGGGTGCTGACAGGAAAGGATAGAGGCTTGAATATGTGCCAGGTGGCAGCACAGAACAGGGAATACAGTTGACCTGTCAGGTGAGCTGGCTTGAGACTTCCCTCCTGTTTCATCTCTGCCTCCACTGGGCATGCATTGGAGCGCACCCTTCAGGAACTAAGGCAGACGTTTGTGTGTGGGAGCTGGAGATAGCTCCAGGCAGGTCTACCCAGGCTGGATCCTGCTAACTCCACCCTTAGGATCCTGGCCTGGAGGAGGGCAGGAGACCTGGATCTTGTCCAAGTTCTGCTATAATTTCTACCATGACCTTGGGCAAGCCCTGTCCCTTTCCCCGTTTTTACGTACTATCTGTAGAACAAGTGTTTGACTTGATGACCTCCAGTCACTGTAGACTTTTATCTCTTATTTTCTACTAATATTTACTCCCTTTCCATGGACCTCTTCATATGCCCTCATAGTCACCCACCTCTATAACCTTCATTTTTCTTTAAAATTTGTCCTTCCTTCTTTTGTGTGTGTGTGTAGGGTTTCTTTTTTTTTTTTTTAATATTTTATTTATTTATTGTGTATGCACTCTTCTGCCTGCATGCCAGAAGAGGGCACCAGCTCTCATTCAAGGTGGTTGTGAGCCACCATGTGGTTGCCGGGAATTGAACTCAGGACCTCTGGAAGAACAGTCAATGCTCTTAACCTCTGAGCCATCTCTCCAGCCCCTTTTTTTTTTTTTTAAAGATTTATTTATTATATATACACTGTTCTGTCTGCATGTCAGAAGAGGGCGCCAGGTCTCATTATAGATGGTTGTGAGCCATCATGAGGTTGCTGGGAATTGAACTCAGGACCTCTGGAAGAGCAGTCAGTGCTCTTAACCTCTGAGCCATCTCTCCAGCCCCGGGTTTCTTTTTTTAAAGATTTATTCATTTATTATATGTGTGAGTGTTGTATTTGCCTGTATGTATTTATGTGTACTATGTGTGTGCTTGGTGCCTGAGGAAGCCAGAAGAGTGCATCGCATTGGATTTCCTGTAACTGGAGTAATAGATGGTTGTGAATCACCATGCAGGTGCTGGGAATTGAACCTGGATCCTCTAGAAGAGCAACATGTGCTCTTAAACACTGCACATTCTCTCTAGCCCTGATAACAGCTTTTTTTTAATCCTAGACTAGCTCCTCTTTACCTTCTGTGGTGATTATACAAGTCTAAAACGTTAGACACTGATAGAAATTGGAGAAACCAGCCCAGAAGTCTGTTTTGGTTTAGTTGTCTACTGTTTTGGGTGTTCGGTGTTTCATCTCTCTTCCTTAGCTTGGGCCTGAGTAATCCTGGCCTCCCGTCCCTTTCCCTTATCGTGTCTTTGTCCTGAGAGGCCCTTTGAGGTTATCTGGGCAGAGGCACCCCCACCCCAGGGACTTCTGGGACATTGGCACTGGTAACCAGATCCACTGTCTTCAGGATCCAGGAAGCTTCCATGGAAACCTCCAGCCTGATGTGGCTGCAGAGCCCACACAGGGCCTCAGAACAGCACAGAACCCAGCGGTGTCTTCTGAGGAAGAGCTCCCAGAGGCAGGTAAGCCACATAGCCCCTCAGCTCCCTCTGGCCTCACTCACCGAGACTGTTTCCAGCCGCCCCTCCCACCTCCCACTGAGGTCTGAACCAGTGCAGCGTTTTTCAGAAATTGGAGGGTGTCTTGTTCAGCAAAGCTGCAGGCCTTGTTAAGAACTGTTACACTCTCGAAACAGTGTGGCAGAAGCCGTATAAAGAGCACAGTGTGGTCCATAGCTCCTATTTGCTGGCAGTGCCTTTCCCTGCAGAAGGGAACGTAACCAACCCCCTGGGTGCATGGCACAGTCTGTGTCCTGTGTGGTCCTCACAGCAGATTTCCCAACCTACCCCCTCAGGATCCCCAAGGAGTGCCAAGGAGTAGCATATCCATGTGGCAAGGGGGCAGGGACACAAACCTGAGAGGCCCAACTGGAGCTACCCTCAGGTGGAGCTGTCATGTCCCAGTCATTCCTTAGCTTTCAATTTCAGAAATTCAATCCTGTCTGCCCTAGAGACAGGAGGATTATGGGTAGGGGTCTCACACCAACCACACTCACAATATACCAATGTGTAAACCACAAAGCCCATTTGTTTAGATCCTACATAGGAGACTCTGCCCTGGGGTCTTGTATTGTCTGGGATCCCATACTCTGTCCTTGTAACTGCTGCTGACCCCCCCCCATTGCCGTCTGAAGAAGTTGCTGGTGGTCACAGAGCGAGTGAGGAGAGTTGACTGTGGAACAAGGTGTTCATGTCGTGTTGTACCTGCCTCTCTACAGGGCTGAAGGCAGATATGCAATTCCTACTGTTTCCAGAGATCCTAGCCTTTACCATGCTCCTCCCCTTCACTCCAGATGGTTTTCTCCAGCTACTCACAGCACAGCTCCCACAGGGCAACCTGTGATTTTTGAGACAAGAGTTTTCTCTGTCGTCCCAGCTGGGCCTGGTGTTCACCATGCAGCGTGAGTTGGCATCAAACTCACAGCAGCCCTTTTTAGCCTTCAAGTGCTGGCATTAAGGCAAGCACTGCCATGCCAGCCCAGTGGGCAACTTTTTCCTTGCTGTAAGCAAGTAACAGCCCCACCTGCCCTGAATACAGGGCTAGTCGCCCTAACTAAACTTTGAATGCTTCCTGATCTACCTTCTTTTCCTTGCAGCAGCAGCTACTAAGAGCTTGCTCTCTCAGTAAAGTGGGTCTTTTATCTCAGCAACCACCGTGAACTGCCCACGAAGGGCTGTTGAGGTGGAATGAGCACGCAGTGAGTGTAACTTCAGGGTTACCAGCAATTTCCCATAAGCACCACATCTGACAGCATTGGTCAGGAATGCTTTCTCTTCCTTTCCATTCTATCTATTGGAAAGGCAGGCATGCTGTGACGTGTGTGGAGGTCAGAGGACAGCTCATGGGAATCAGTCCTCTACTGCATAGGTCCTGGAAGTACCTGCTGGCCATTTTGCCAGCCCAGGATTGTCACACACACACCTCTAGACAAGGTTTTTCTCTGTAACTCTCTGTAACCCTGGCTGTCCTAGAATTTGCTATATAGACAAGACCGGTCTTGAACTCAGAGATCTGCTGCCTCTGCCTCCTGAGTTCTGGGATTAAATGTGTGAGCCACTGTGTATTTCATTCTTCATGTCCACCCGGGCACTCTGGGGTTGGGGTGCTCGCCCACTGTCAGCTGAGAACCTAGGTTGGTAAACTGTCATTCCTAACACATACCCCTCATCTGCTGAGAAAGCTGCAGTAGGAAACCTCCGAATCCTTTCTGCTCAGCACTGCCCCTAGACAGATGGGAAAGAAGCCACCGAAGCACGGGGTACCCCATTCCTGCAAAAGTGGCCCAGGGGTTGTATCCTGCCATTTGTTGTGCATATGTTTATAGGGAGATATGTCATGGGCATACTGCCCCAGAGGAGCCAGGTCCTCCTAAAGGGCAGGGGCTTCAGATCTGACTTGTGTGGAATTCTATGGTTGTCACTGAGTCTACTGCCGTCCACCTCCCTCTACAGATGACCTGGATGGACTTCTGAGTGAGCTCCCTGAGGACTTCTTCTGTGATCCTAGCAGTTGGGACTGTCTCAAGACGGGACATCCACCGTGAGCTGACGGTCTCTGCCCCGAGACAAGCTCTAGGTGCATCTGGTCACATTTGAGGGAGAGAAAGCCAGTGCAGCTGGAAGCCAGACAAACTCATGTTCTGATGCCTCCTCACGGCCCCCTTCCCCAAACCCCCAAGTGATGGACCAGACAGTGCTGCTGTGGCCTGACAGCTCCCTCTGCATGGGCATCCTGGACCTCTGAGCAAGCCTAGCTCTCCAGCCTCCCTGTGCTGTGGTGGGCACATCGTCCCCCAGCCAACAGGAAAAGTATGATCTCCACTACCTTAACTTCAGAGATGTTGGCCTGGTTTCCTTGTCCTTTTATTCCTCAGTCCCCTGACAGCAGAGGAGCCACAGCCACAGCAAAGGTGACCTAAGGCAGTAGCTAACGCGTCCTCAAGGGTGGTGGTGGAATACAGGCTATTGTACCTGGTTCTGAAATAAAGCAGCCCCTCCTCATCTGCTACCTCTCCGTCCCACACCCACTCCATTCTCTGCTGGCCAGAGCACTCAGGCTCCAGCAGGTGGACAGCAAGGCAGCAAGCAGCATTCACTCTGAGTGTGTGTGTGTGTGTGTGTGTGTGTGTGTGTGTGTGTGTGTGTGTGCGCGCGCGCACGCGCGCTGGCATGTGCATACATGTGCATGTGTTTATACACTTTCTCCCCTCTTCCTCCCTCCTCCCCCTCTGTCTCTCTTTTTTTTTTAATTTTATGTATATGGGTGTCTTGCCTTCATATATGTCTGTATTACCTGTATGCCTACTGCTCTTGGAGACTAGAAGAGGGCTTTAGATCCCTCGGGACTAGAGTTACAAGTGTCTGTGACCAGGCTGGCCTTGAACTCATACAGATCCACCTGCCTCTGCTTCTTGAGTGCCGGGATTAAAGGGGTGTGCCATCACTGCCCAGCTCCTTTTGTTTGTTCTTTATCTTTATTTTGAGGCAGGATCTCACTAAGTTTCTGGCCTTGAACTTGGCAGTCCTCCTGCCCCCACCTCCCAGTTACCTAGAACTCCAGTCTTGTACTATGAGGCCAGCTTCTCCCATCTTACCTGGGTATCTGTGGGCCTAGGTCACTTAACTGAGGACATGTCCGTAAACTGTCTCCTCTCTACTCTGTACTGTTTGACAGGCAGTCAAATGGTGTACAGCCACTCAAGTATTAGGGAGTTCTGTTCTCCTAAGGGCGGAAGGTCTCATATCATTTAGGATGAGTTTTGTATGGCATTGTCTTCTTCACCAATTATATTACTATGGGCCCGGGTTTTTATTTTATCCTTTGAGCTGTAACCTGATGCGACTTTATCTGTTATGTGGCACAGGAACTTCAGTGCTCTCCCTCAGCACCATTTTTTTAGACCACAATTGACAAGAGCCTGGGTGGGAGAGAAAGGTCACAGTATTCAAGTTGCCAACCCATTATCCTTCCCTGTTTGACTGGCGGCCTCCCTGCCTCCCCCCACTCCCAGCTGTCACTGAGTGGCTGAGAGTGGAGGCCTCCACGCACTGCTCTGAGAGACAGAGCCCGTGAATGCGGTCACGGATGGGATGTAAGCAGCTGGAGAACTGCTGACTGTAGGGAGCCTCTGACCGAAGGGTGTAGCGATGTGGGCAGTGCAGCTCAGGCTTGTTTTCCAGGGCCGTGCGCTTTCACGAGCCCCCTCTCCTGCCTGCTGCCAATGCCGAACCCTCTTCAAGCTTAGACCTGGGCCAGACCCGTCTAGGTGGTGGTATCAACCAAACTACCTTGTTTGCACTGGGACACCTTCAAGACCTCATCCCCCCATTCCAGTCTCAGCTAAGCCCAAACTTTCAGATCCTAGTTTCCTGGGTGCTTCATTGTTCCCCAGACTAAATTCCCAGGAAGCAGACTGGACATCAGATCCCCTGGCACTGTTCCTTCCAGTTCAACTTCTGGCCTCCCGTGCACCCACGGGCAGGCCTCCTTTCTCTGCCTCGGAAGCTAATGTTAAAACCTACACACGGGTATCTCTGGAGGACAAAGCTGTAGTCAGCACTTTCAGGCTTGTGAGGCAAGAAGGGGGCAGAGGTCAGGCTCTGACTGGTGTGTGCCTTAGGGAGTAAAGGGACACCCACCACTTTGGCCTTCTCGGCCCCACCTTGCTTTGCCAGACTCCCAACCCTGGGAACTGAGCTGTGGGTGCTCAGCCAGGCCGTCAGTGGGGCAATTAAAATACTGTATGGCTTCCAGTAGGGTTAATCACAGCTGCATCCATAGAGGTGCCTTTCTCTGAGGAGGATCTTCAAACCCTCACTGGGCATGATCTCATTCCTCTTCTGGGATCCCCCACCCTGGAATGTTGCCGGGAAACTGGGGGCCAAGCACAGAATGATTGGGTGAGGGCAATGCCGGAAGGAGCCAGAGTTGCTGCCTCCCACCTGGGCAGAGACAGAGGAGTGTTTGCTCAGACAGAGAATGGGGACCTTCATTCAGTGTTGAGGAGGAGCCAGCCTGCCATGACCCAAGCGCTCCTAAACACTGTCAAGACTGACCAAGCCAGGGCCTGCCCTGCAGCCCACACCCAGCATGGGAGAGTGATGGCCGTGGCCCTGCGGCCTTGGAAGCCCACCCAGTGCTTTTTTAGAAGTTGAGTGGCTGTTACTGCAGGAACATCTCTACACAGCAGATTGCCTTGAATGAATGAGTAGGAGATTCCAAGGCCCTGGGACAGCAGGGAAGGGCCAGAGTGTGTGAGACTGCCATGTGTGGGCCGGGGCCAGAGCAGGGAGCTGGGACTTCCATGGAAGGGCCTGAGTCAGACTGCAGTTTTTCAGGAAAGTGACCTTTCCGGACAGGTGATTCTGGCAGGCAGCAGAGGGACATGTTATCCAAAAAAGAGACACAGGCTGGGTTGACTCAGGTTGAAGGCTTTGGGGACCTGAACTGAAGCTGGTGACAGAGTGTGGAAGAGACAGACCCTGTGTGGGCCTGTGGCAGAAGGAAGTGAAAGATTCGGAGGACGGGGAGGTTGCTGGAAAGTCAGGGTGGGAGCCGCCACCCTGACTGCAGCCCAGGAGGCAGAGGCCGGCTGACATGAAATCCCATTTCCCGCCCCACTCCATGCCCTACAGGCAGACCAGCCATTGTGCTTTCCCGGCCTCATTCCTCCCCCTAGAGGCTCCGGGAAGCACAGCCACTTCCTCCAAAGGTCTAAAGGTCCCCAGCTTCACCAAAGGAGACTGTGAGTCATCATAGAAACCAGGGAGGAGAAAAACTAGCCACTGAAGGTAGAACCCATGTCCCGCTTGGGCACGTGGGGACAGGAAAGGCTTGCCCGACTATCTATCCCACATGGTAGTAGCCCCTAGAGTCAAACTGTCTTATCTAAAGTTGGATTCACGGAGTCATTGTCCCACCCTCACAAGCTATGTGATCTTGAGAGTAATGGTAATTTTACCTTGTTAAGACTTAAATTCCTAGCCGGACGTGGTGGCACATGCCTTTAATCCCATCACTCACAAGGCAGAGGCAGGTGGATCTCTGTGAGTTTGAGACCAGCCTGGTCTACAAGAGTTAGTTCCAGGACAGGCTCCAAAGCCACAGAGAAAAACCAAAAACCACACACACACACACAAAAAAAACTTAAGTTCATTTTTTTGGTTTTTTTTTTTTTTTTTTTTTGGTTTTTTGAGACAGGGTTTCTCTGTATTGTTTTGGAGGTTGTCCTGGAACTAGCTCTGTAGACCAGGCTGGCCTCGAACTCACAGAGATCCGCCTGCCTCTGCCTCCCGAGTGCTGGGACTAAAGGCGTGCGCCACCAACGCCCGGCCTCTTTTTTTGGTTTTTTGAGACAGTTTCTCTGTGTAGCTTTGGAGCCTGTCCTGGAACTCCTTGAGGCTGGCCTCAAACTCACAGAGATCCACCTGCCACTGTCTTGTGAGTGATGGGGTTAAAGGTGTGCGCCACCAGGGCCCCCTTGCAACGACCCCCCCCCCAAAGAAAAGACTTAAGGAACTTCAGGTGTAAAATAAGACCATCTCAGGTGCTAAACTGAAATACTTGGCCATCTCGTTTACTGACCAAATCTTTGTATTATCTCATTGGCTGTGGTCGTGAGTGGAGGCGGGTGTGAGAGTGACTGAAATTCCACAAAGTGTAGTACACGCTTGCAGCAGTTGCTATTTCATATTCAGGAAGCGTGGTTTGGCTTCTCAGTATGTCCACCTCCCTTGGCTGAGGTCCGTGGGCTCACTCCAGAGAAGTGGGATCCAGGACTGACCTTGGCTGAGGACCTGCTGACCAATGGAAGGCTACCAGGAAGGGTAGGGGCTGGCCCAACATCATGGGCTTTAGGATCATGACTCTAGGCAAGCTGTTTACCAATGCAGTGAGGGGCCTATTTATAGTCTCAGCTGCTTCTCCAGCTTACCAGGACGGGGGCAGGGTGGCTCCCAAGAGCAAAGGTGCTAGTTGGAACAGGGACTATTCTCTGCCTAGGTGCCCAGACCACTGAATCCGCCCGCCATGGCAGGGGAGACCTTCCCTTTCACATCCTCCACAAGGCGTGCTCTCCGCCTACAGAGAGAGTGGCTGGAATGGGAGGACAGGAGACGGGCTGCCGCTCATCGCTGTCTAAGTCAGAGGTACCTCTCTGGTTCCCAGGCTCGGTTCATGAGGACCCGCCGCTCCTGCCGAGCCCCAGCTGTCCACAATGCCCTGTTCTCTGGGGACCTACAGCAGGTTCAAATCCTGTTCCAAGATGAAGAGGCTGCCAACATGATTGTGGAGACTATAAGCAACCAGCTGGCCTGGTCAGCAGAACAGGGTAAGGAGGCAGAAAGGGGAGAAGTGTGGGGGTGGGGAAGGGAAGAGTCCAGACCTTACTTCTCCTTAAAGACCCTAGAGTGGGCTGTCCACCATAACCACCCATGTTAGCTCCTTCCTAAACTTTAGAGACAAAGTATGGGTTTTGTTTGTTTTGTGGTCTTGAGACAGGATCTCACTATGTACTTGGGCAGGCTGGCCTTTAACTCATAGAGATCCACCCACTTCTGCCTCTTGGATGCTAGGATTAAAGGCGTGCACCACCACATCCTGCCTCCTATAGTTATGCTTTTTTTAAGATTTATTTATTATTTATGAATACAACATCCTGCCTCCATGTGTGTCTGCACTCCAGAAGAGGGCACCAGATCTCATGGATGGTTATGAGCCACCATGTGGTTGCTGGGAATTGAACTCAGGACCTCTGGAAGAGCAGCCAGTGCTCTTAACCACTGAGCCATCTCTCCATCTTGATTGTTTTCACTGTGATTGTTGATTGATGACTGATTGATTGTGACATTAAGAGGTGAAAGGCAGAGCCCACACATAGGCATGTCCCTTTGCTGTTTTGAGTGGCAATATGATAAAGAACTTTATGTGCGTGACAGAAGTTTTCTTCTTTTTTTTTTTTTTTTTTTTTTTTTTTTGGTTTTTCGAGACAGGGTTTCTCTGTGGCTTTGGAGGCTGTCCTGGAACTTGCTCTGTAGACCAGGCTGGTCTCGAATTCACAGAGATCCACCTGCCTCTGCCTCCCGAGTGCTGGGATTAAAGGCGTGCGCCACCAATGCCTGGCATGACAGAAGTTTTTTAGGATGTGTCCCAACTTAGCAAGTTTAACTGAGTTAACCAAATACTTAAATGAGATTGTTGTGAAAACTGACAAGAGATGGCTTCAACCTCAGCCCTTGGATTTGGGGTTTCACAGTCCTATGGAAGAGTTTATGGACCCAGGACAGTCAGGCACTGCAGGCTCCAAGTCCTGCTTACCTGCAGTAGTGACACAATGACCCTACCAAGCTTTTCTGACTTTGTCCTGAAGAATACCCATAATCCCCCAAAATGGAACTTGGTTTAATTATTCAAAAACAAAATATACTTCACCCAAGATCCAGAGAAACAGTGACCTTACTTCCCTGCCATACCAAGAGTGTACACTTCAGTGTGACACACCTGCATCCTTTAAACAGTTTCCTGACTAGTCAGTCCGTTCAAAGCCAAGACCAGTCTTGTGATCACCAAGCCCATCTTTTCATTCTGTAGTCACTTCTAAACACAGCTCTATATACACCTGTGCATAGCTACCATCTCCAAACCCAAGGCCAGTTCTAAACAAAAAGCATCAATGCACCCACTAGCAACGAGTTCTGCCTTTGTGATTTTTTCTCTTGTCTCTCTCTGTCTCTCTCTCTGTCTCTCTTGGTTTTTCAAGACAGGGTTTCCTTTGTGTAACAGCCCTGGCTGTCCTGGAACTCACTTTGTAGATCCGATTGCCTCTGCCTCCTGAGTGCTGGGATTAAAGACCATCACTTCCTGGCCACCTTTGTAGTTCTATAGAACAACTCTTCTATGGCACATACTATGTGAAATTTTCTACCTTGTTTTCCAGTGCTGGAGAGTGTAGTGTTTTGTTATAGACTGACGGTGTTTAAAAAGGCTCTTCCAATGTGTACTCCTAATTCAGGACTTGAGTGAACCCCTAGCCACAGGCACAGCATGGCTGTTGGTGCTCAGTAAGCTAAAGCCAGGGAAGGCCAGCATCATAGACAGCTTCTTCATAGTGTCTTCATCCTGCTCTCCCATACAAAGTCCTACAGTACTGCCTGTTCTCCTCAGGATTCTGGGTGCTGATTCCAAAGACCAAGCACACAGCACCTCTTACCATCGCTGTGGCCAGAGGCTACATAGACTGCGCCCGGCACCTTATCCTTCAGGGGGCTGATGTCAATGCCCGGATTGGAGGTCATGCTGCCTTGCACGAGGCCTGTGCCCAAGCCCAAACTGACTGTGTTCGGCTGCTGCTCACATTTGGTGCCAAGGCTAATGTGCTGTCTGAGGACGGTATGACCCCCTTGCACCTCTGCACAGCTCCTGAATCCTTGCAGTAGGTGCCCGTGGCCTGGGATGGTTTTGTGGGGGGGGTGTGTATCTGTGTCCAGCTTACCTGCCTAGGGACAAGGATGACTTGACAAAGTTTTGTATATAAAGAACCTCATGTCTTTATGTTTTCACACATAGGTAGAGATCTCATTTTTTTAAAGATTTATTTATTTTATTTTATTTATTTATTTATTTATTTTGGTTTTTCGAGACAGGGTTTCTCTGTGGCTTTTGAGGCTGTCCTGGAACTCGCTCTTGTAGACCAGCCTGGCCTCGAACTCACAGAGATCTGCCTGCCTCTGCCTCCCAAGTGCTGGGATTAAAGGTGTGCGCCACAAACGCCTGACGGCAAGCACTCTCTTAATTGAGTCACATCCCTGACTCTTTTCTGTTGCTTGTTTATTGGTGGCAGAGTCTCACTGTGTAGTCCAGGCTGGCCTCCAAATCTTGAGTGATCATCTTGGACCAGCCTTTTTTTTTTTTTTGAACTGATTCTGTAGACCAGGCTGACTAACTCAAACTCATAGAGATCTGCTGCCACCACCAGACTTGGGCAGGGTTTTTGTTGTTGTTTTGTTTTTTTCCCTGTATAACAGTCCTGGCTGTCCTACAACTTGCTTTGTAGACCAGGCTGGCCTCGAACTCACAGAGATCCACCTGCCTCTGCCTCCCAAGTGCTGGGTTTGGGCAGTCTTTTAAACACTGGGATTACAAGCATGACTGTCACACCCAGTGTCCTTTCACTTTTCACAAGTCAACAGTGTCAGGGACTTCCTACATGGTGGTATTTACTCTTTTACAAATCAATTTAACAAACTCAGCCGGCAGGTCTAAGGACTCAAGACACTAACAGTCAACAGCTAGAGACCTGACCCAGCTAGCTGTAGATCAGTGATAGACCTCAAAGTGATCTAAATTTGCCAGCCCTACTCAGGAGGCTGAGGCAGTAAGATTGCCAGTTTGGTCTACATATAGTACCTGGTCAACTTATGCCAGGTATTGAAGAAACAATATTACCAGTCCCCTTCTCTGGTTCTTCCGACACTACTGAACTCCAGGTTGCTATACACAAGCATCTTCCCACTGTTTGTCCTTTTAAACATAATGAGAAGGGAGCTTGTTAAAGTGGTCCATGTATTTGGTTTTAGAAATCAAAGCATGCCAACAATTAGAATTTGCTGCAGCATTAAGCTCAGTAGTTTGTCAAAGGCAGTGTTCACTCTGTTCGTGGCCGCTGAGCACTTGTATCGTGATCTGTGTTGTACTTGGGGGACGGATCTCCCAGTTATGATTTCACCAAAATGATCTGCCAGTGCCTTCCCAGAAGCTGCTATTGTCCTTTTCCATTGTAAATTACCATTGCTTGGACTGGAGAGATGGCTCAACCGCTTTAAAGGCTAGACTCACAGCCAAAACTAAATTACCACTGGTTTTGTTTCATTGGCAGTTTAGTTCAGCTCATGTTCTGTAACCACGGTAGGTAGCAGCACATTTACTATAATGGTGTACTGGCCTGTAATTTTTCCGGGAATTCAGAGACTGTGAAACAGATTCTCTCTAAAATGTTTTGTTTGCTTTTACTTGTTTTCTCTAAGGGAAAGGACAGGAGGGAGTTCCCCAAATGCTTTGCTGGACCAAGCGAAAACAGCCGACTTGGGAAGAGCAGTCCCCTGGTTTTGCTAACACACTTTAATATTCCACTTGGAGTGGTTTTCCAAATCTTGCCCTATCAAAATGTTAGCTCAGGAGTTGGGGTTGTGGCTCAGTTGGTAGAGTGCTTGCCTCCAAACACACATGGGGCTTTGATCCCTGGCACCACAGAAACTGGGCGTGGTGGTGAATGCCAGTAATCCCAACAAGTGAGAGGAGACAAGGATCAGGAGTTCAAGGTCATTCTCTGTAGCATAGTGAATCTGATGCTGTCAGAAGTCAGGTGTGACTCAAAGATAGCTTGCCTAGCATGCCTGGGTTTCATGCCCAGCACAAAGTAAGTAAATCAGTTCAGGAAAAACCAAAAAAAAAAAAAAAAAGGCCGGGCGTTGGTGGCGCACGCCTTTAATCCCAGCACTCGGGAGGCAGAGGCAGGCGGATCTCTGTGAGTTCGAGGCCAGGCTGGTCTACAGAGCGAGTTCCAGGACAGCCTCCAAAGCCACAGAGAAACCCTGTCTCGAAAAACCAAAAAAAAAAAAAAAAAAAAAAAAAGTAAATCAGTTCAGGATGAACTCTCCAGATTCTGCCACATGTGTTAATGCTATCTGTGTGCTCTTGTCCGCTGCACTAGACTGTTTGGGTCCTAACTTTTTTAAAAAATAATTTATTTAACTTTATGTGCATTGGTGTGAAGAAGGTATCAGATCCACTGGAACTGGAGTTACAGTCTTGAGCTGTCATGTGGGTGCTGGGAATTGAACCTGGGTCCTCTGGAAGAGTAGCCAGTGCTCTTTTTTTTTTTTTTTTTTTTTTTTGTTGTTGTTGTTTTTCGAGACAGGGTTTCTCTGTGGCTTTGGAGGCTGTCCTGGAACTCGCTCTGTAGACCAGCCTGGCCTCGAACTCACAGAGATCCGCCTGCCTCTGCCTCCCAAGTGCTGGGATTAAAGGCGTGCGCCACCAATGCCCGGCCAGCCAGTCCTCTTAACCACTGAGTCATGTCTCTTTTCCTGGGCCTTAACTTTTCCATCTGAACATTGAAGGTTCTTCTGGCAGCTTCTACTGGCCCCATAACCTTGGTGCTTGTAGTAGAGTTTCTGTGTTCAGATGGGGACAAGGCCAGGCCTCAAGGTAGAGGTGTGAGAAGGATATGGGTGTTGAAAGCAGACCTTAGGGTCCTCAGGATTTTTCCCGGCCTTGCACCCTGTCCTTAGGTGTGCCAAGTTGCTGCTAGAGGCTGGAGCGTCTGTGAATGAGGCATCACAGGAAAGTGAAGTCACACCCCTGCATGTGGCTGCAGCTCGTGGCCTGGAGCAACACGTGGCTCTCTACCTGGAGAACGGTGCAGACGTGGGCCTGCGCACTAGCCAGGGCGAGACTGCCCTGAATGCAGCGTGCGCTGGAGCAGAGGGGCCAGGTAGCTGCCGACAGCACGAGGCAGCAGCGCGACAACTCTTGGAAGCCGGGGCTGATCCCCAGGCTGCAGGTCGCAAGCGCCACACACCACTACACAACGCCTGTGCTAACGGCTGCGGAGGCCTGGCTGAGCTGCTGCTGTGCCACGGGGCCAGCGCTGGAGTCACCAACGGGGCAGGCCACACACCCATGGACTGCGCTCTGCAAGCTGTACAAGATGCCTCCAACTGGGAGCCCGAGGGCCTCTTTGCAGCCCTGCTGGATTACGGGGCCCAGCCTGTTCACCCTGAGGTGCGCTGGGAGGGTCTGAGGAAAGGAGGAGCCTGGGACAGAACTTCCCTGACTGGAAAGGTCTAACAGATCAAAAGCCTTCCTCCGTGACTAGAGGTCCATCCCCATCTTGGCAGAGGGGATAGGGTGTCCAAAAGAATATTAGAGTCAAGGAAACTGGGGTTAGGAGCTTGGGGTATGCGGAGATAGGGCAAGCTAAGGCATGGGAAACACGAGGGGGGTGGTGTATAGCGATTTATATTAGCCAGCCTTGGGCTTGCCTTAGTTGGGGCAGTATAGAACTCCTGGGCCCCCGGTTTTGATTCCCAGATGCTGAAACACTGTGCCAACTTTCCTCGGGCCCTGGAAGTCCTGCTTAATGCCTATCCATGTGTTCCTGCCTGTGATACCTGGGTGGGGGCCGTGCTTCCAGAACTGTGGCAGGTAGGTCCACTCCAAGGGCCAAGCTTTTTCCTGTGTGGGCTAGAGAGGCCTCTGCTTTCAAGCTTCAAAACCAGCTTCAAAGAGGGAAGAGAGACCCTGGGCAGAAAAGGGTAGGCAGTGAAACCCCTGGGTTCTAGGCCTCCGTCTACAGCAGCAGAGGTGGGCCTTCCATCTCCCATCCACAACCATCCATTTACCAGTCAGCTCTGACGTGGTGGGATTCTGCAGCATGTCTGTGGTGGGAGTGGCCACTGAAATCCAGTCCCCAGTACATGGCACTGGGTCATGAAAATCAGGGGTATTGGGTCATCTGATCCTCCCTTATTTTATTTTATTTTATTTTTGGTTTTTCGAGACAGGGTTTCCCTGTGGCTTTGGAGGCTGTCCTGGAACTTGCTCGGTAGACCAGGCTAGTCTCGAACTCACAATGATCCGACTGCCTCTGCCTCCCGAGTGCTGGGATTAAAGGTGTGCGCCAACGCCCGGCCTCTGATCCTCCCTTCTTCTGGCCTAGGAACATGAAGCCTTCTACAGCTCAGTCCTAAGTATGGAAAACCAGCCAAGACGGCTGCAGCACCTGGCCCGCCTGGCTGTTCGTGCTCAGTTGGGTAGCAACTGTCGGCAGGCTGCCACCCAACTCCCACTGCCCCCGCTGCTGAGAGACTACCTGCTGCTGCGTGTGGAAGGACAGATCCAGTGAGCTCTGAGCAGGCCACTTCTGTTTCTGTCTGCTCCTCTACCCAGCTCTGGAGAGCCAGCCCCTCCCCTTCCCTTCGCACTCGATTGTCCCTCCACCTGCTGCTCTTCAGGCCTTCTCAGCCTGTCCCCAAAGAAACCGTTCACACACTCACTGGTGTCTAAGTAGACCCATGGCCTCTTTATCTACCCAAGCTACAAGCAAACAATCCCAGGCACAGGTCTTCCCTTGCCTCCCATGCGCCTACTCAGGCCCTTTCATCACGGCAGGCCCGCAGTTGGAGTTGACAGCATATCCCTGTAACCCCAGTACCCAGGAAGCTGAGCCAGTAGAATTGTGAATTCAAAGCTAGCAAGATCGTGGCAGGGCATAGGGGGTACCCTGCTTCTTTGCTTTCTTCCTAGCCCAGCTCTGGATAGAACTAAAAGGAAGGGTTGCTATGATTGTTTTTCTCCCAATACTAGGAATGGAACCCAGGACTTGGTACATGCCAAGCAAGTGTCCCAGCATACAGTCACACCTCTATCTCTTAATGAAGCCCATGTCTTGAATGGATGCTAGAATAATTTTTTTTTGCTTTGTTTTTTTTTTTTCAAGACAGACTTTCTCTGTATAACAGCCCTAGCTATCAAACTCACAGAGTTCTGCCTGCCTCTGTCTCCTGAGTGCTGGTATTAAAGGTGTGTACCACCACCTGGCCACCTGAGACATTTATGATGTATTGTCCCTTACTCCCAAGTGTAACATGGTATCTTAACTGGCAGTCATTCTAGAACAGCTTCGGGGGCCCAGAAAGCTAGGCTATCATTTCTTACTTATTCTGGTCTTAGAAACGAAAAGGCATGACCACTCACCTGTAGGAGGAGACTTTTCAAGGCAAATCAGTTTTATGGATGCCAATAAATAATTTGTTCACAGAACAAATGTATGGATATTGTTAGGTTTGAATGTGACAGAAGTTGCCATCACTCCACAATTATTCTCTGTGTTCTTCTGAGGCTTTCACATGTTCTGCCTTGAACAAGTGTTTCTGGTGACATGAAAAAGGTTATAGACCCCACACACACACACTTCATGGGAGCATTGTGGTAGCTATAGATGCCCCTACCACAGGAGCCTTGTGGTAGGCATCTCAGGAGAGAATAGAGGGGCTTATTTGACCTTTTTGCTGGGGATCAAGGTTCTCAGTCACCAGCTGGCATCACCCAGAAGACAGGAGAGCCACATCAGGAGCCCTGGGCCAGCTTCCTGGGGCCGCTGGCCAGTCCCCGCCTCCAGGGAGTTCTGTCTGCTCAGATTCCCTTTCATTGGCACAAGACAGCCTCTGCCCTGGTTCAGCAGAGTAGGAACCACCTGTTTCTGGATGGAGGCTTTGCTTTAGTTCCACAGAGCAAAAGGTCTAAGACAGTTGTTCTCAACCTCTGGGTTGAGACCCCTTTAGGGGTTGAAAGACCCTTTCACAGGGGTCACCTAAGATCATCAAAAAACACAGATATTTACATTATAATTCATAACAGCATCAAAATTACAGTTATGAAGTATCAAAGAAAATAATTTAGGAGGGAGGTTGAACAGGGTCTTTCTATATAGCTCTGGCTGTCCTAGAACTCCATTTGTAGACAAGGCTGGCCTTGAACTCACAGAGATCCACCTGTCTCTGCCTCCCTAGTTAGTGCTGGGATCAAAGGTGTGTACCACCAAACCCAATTTCAACAAAAATAATTTTATGATTGGGGGTCACCACAACATGAGGAGCTGTGTTAAAGAATCACAGAATTAGGAAAGTTGAGAATCTCTAGTTCTAAAAGAAGAAAAGGCTTCCCCAGTCCTTGACCTGAGTTGGGAGTTGGGATCCTTGTTCCAGGGAATAATGCTGAAGTTTCTGCCCCATTACAGTAGGCAGGCCCCAGCCAGTGCAGTCCAGTCTCTTCTATCATGCTTTAATTCACAAAATACCTAGTTTTTTTTTTTTAAGGAAAAGACATGTTGGACTATGTGTATTGATTTTGTGATAGGCAAAGATTTTTCAGTTACAAAGAGCATGAAATATTAAAAGAACAGAATTCGCCGGGCGTTGGTGGTGTACGCCTTTAATCCCAGCACTCGGGAGGCAGAGGCAGGCAGATCTCTGTGAGTTCAAGGCCAGCCTGGTCTACAGAGCCGATTCCAGGACAGCCTCCAAAACAATACAGAGAAACCCTGTCTCGAAAAACCAAAAAAAAAAAAAAGGACCGAATTTAGGTGTGGTTTTACTTTGGTGTGTGTGTGTGTGTGTGTGTACACGCACAAGGTGGGGGTACTTTCAGAGACCAGAAGACAGCATAGAATACCTTGGAGCCAGTTGCAGGTGCTTTTTGGAATCAAACTCAGGTCTCTTGGAAGAACAGCAACTACTAAACCATCCTCCCAAATCCTAGGTTTGTGTTCTAAAGACTATACCATAAACAGGTGAAAGAAAAATATTAGAAAGTTATTTGCAGTTGCAGTCATTTTTTTGGGGGGGGTTTCGAGACAGGGTTTCTCTGTATTGTTTTGGAGGCTGTCCTGGAACTCACTCTGTAGACCAGGCTGGCCTCGAACTCACAGAGATCCGCCTGCCTCTGCCTCCCGAGTGCTGGGACTAAAGGCGTGCGCCACCAACGCCCGGCTCAGTTGCTGTCATCTTAAGGGCTAGAGAGATGGTTCATTTGGTAAGTGGAAGTATGAGGCCTTAGTTTGATCCTCAGCACCTACATTAAATAATAATAATAACGATGATGATAATAATAATAATAATATAATAAAAGACCAGCAGGGCATGATGGTGCACACCTTTGATCCCAGCAATTGGGAGGCAGAGGCAGGCAGATCTCTGTGAGTTCAAGTCCAGCCTGGTCTATGAAGTGAGTTCCAGGACAAGCAGGGCTACACAAAGAAACCTTGTCTTGAAAACCACCTCCAAATTTTTTTTCATTTAAAAAAATGACCAACAAGTTAAGATGCATGTAAATACTGAGTTAAATTCATGGTGGTGCCTGCCTGTAATCCCAGCACTTAGGAGACAGAGACAGGAAGATCAGAAGTTCAAGGTCTTCCTCTGCTACAACGTTCTCAAGTGTCCTAATGCTGTGATCCTTTAATACAGTTCCTCACGTTGGGATGACCTCCAACCATAAAATTATTTTCGTTGTTACTTTATAACTATAATTTTCTACTGTTATGAATAGTAATATAGAACTCTGATATGCAGGATATCTGATATTCAACCCCTGTGAAAAGGTCGTTGGAACCCCGAGGGGTCGCGCCCCACAGGTTGAGAAGCACTGCTCTACTCCAGTTAACAGAAAAAAGGGAAAAGTTAATCCAGGGTGATAGACTTGGAGAGATGGTTCAAAGGCTAAGAGCACTTGTTATTCTTTCCTGATCTGAGTTCTCTTCCCAGCACTCAAGACTGGTGGTTTACAAGCTCTAGTAACCCTAGCTCCAGGGAATCCAGTGCCCTCTTCTGGCCTCTGCAAGCAACCACACACACATGGCATACACATACAAACACATAAATAAAAGCAAACAAATCATCTTTTTAAAGAGCACTAATCTGTGTCTCTCCGAAATGCCTTCCCGCTTTATTTATCAAAGCTCCACACTATATAGTATTTAAGACTATAACTTGTCTTCTTGCCTGTCTCCTCGAGTAGCAACTTTCCTAAAAACCCGAAGTGCTAGACCTTGCGGATCCCAACATTGGAGTCCGGTGCGCATAAGCGGAGCAGTAATGAATCCCTTTAGTTACGGAGTTGGAAAAGCCGGAAGGAGGGAAAGAGGGAAACCTAGCGGTGGGTGCACCAGCAGAGCCTGGCAGGGCAATCCTCTAGGCATGAAACCACACCCCTCCCACAAGCCCCTCCCCGAACCGCTCCTCCTCTTCTGTCCCCGCCTCTGACCTCTGAACGGCCTGGGACCACGCCCATTAGGCGTGGCCTTACTGCCCGAGGTCCGAAATCCCGCCAACAATGACTCCGCCCCTTCTGCCGCTGTGCAACCTGGCCCTTTTAGTTAAAGTTACGTTTACGTCAGTCCGCCTTACGTAGCCTTGCGTCATCACTACAAGGCGGGACTTCCGGTCCCTATGTTAACAGCTTCCGAGAAAAGCCGGAAGAGATAGGACCCTGGACAGAATCCCGTGTTGCCAGCCCCTCCCCCGACCCCTACGGAAAGGCGAGTGCAGAGACTGTCCTGGCGAAGTCAAAACATTTATCCTGGCTTTGTCAGGTGAGGCTCTCCTTCCCCATCCAGGAGCAGTACCAGTCCAAACATCCTCCAACTTCCCATGACTCTCTGCGTCCTCAAGCCCCGCCCCCAGTTCCTCTGCCCCGCCCCGAAGTTTGAGGGGTGTGGATGGTTTGTGACCCCCCCTCACCTGATCCTAACCATCACCGGTCAGGAGAGCTGGGCTTGGGCACTGCGACCGTGACCCGGAAGCCCTTCGGCCGGGGGGTGGGGGCTCATGGACGCTACTGCCACGGGAATAGGATCTCTCGGGCTCACAGCCTTCGCCTCGGAAAAAGCAGGGTCGAGACAACTCCACACCGCGCCGTCAGGGTCGCCCACAGGCCGAGGAGAAAGCTGCGGCCTTGGAGCAGGCAGACGCGGGGTCCTATCCGCCCCTGCCCACGGCAGTTCCTTGTGTCCTCGGTTTCCGTCTGTCTTTGCCACAGTTTCCTTTTGTGTAAATCACGATTCCTCACATTAACCTTACCATCAGGGGTTGGTTGTGGGAGTGAGACATAATTGGTATCATTTATTTATCGAACAGTATTCTTTTGCTTCGATGATTTCACGTCATCTTCAAAACAACCTTATGAGGTAGGTACCGTTTTAAACCCCACTTTACTGATGACAATGCTGAGGCTTGAGAAAGTTGTGGAAAGTTACATAGCTTGAAGAGGGGTCTTTGTTTCTCTGACTCCTGTTAAATAAGGCTATGGAAAATCTTCGAATGTCGGTGTGTCCACAGATATTAAGGAGTTTAGTACAAAGAGAGCTGAGACTGATTCTTCCAGAAGTCAATGAAGAGATGGACAGTTCAGAAGTAATGACATTTTATGGGTGCTGTGAGAATAGTCTGATAATGATAATCACCAGATGGATTTGCCCAGGGGAAAGTAGGTTCTCCAGGGAAAGGGAAAGTACTCCAAGGAGTGTGCAGAGATTCTCCTTGCTTTTCTAAGAATCTGCGGAGAGGGAGAACCTTCACAGCACAAGACAGAATGAAAGATTGTGGGAGCTCGTTGGGAAATCTTTCCAAATAATTTCTACTTGGGCAATGGCTTTTTTTCCCCCCTTAAGCTGCTTTATGCAGCCTAGGGCTGATCTTGAATTTGCAGTGTAGTGGAGGCTTGTCTTGAACCCTTGGTCCTACTGCCTTCATTTCCCAAATTCTGAATAACTGGAATGTATGCTGGGGCAGTGGTTTTACAGTTGTGAGCCAAGTCCATGGTGACCCAACAGGGCAGTGCTTCTGGTGTCTGTCCCATGTGGCTCCCCAGAACTTGCCAGAACAGTTTCGTAGCAGACATGTGTCTGCTGATAGTCCCAATACATTTGTCCACTTGAAGTGATCTGATTCTGTCCTTGATATATCAAAATGTTATTTATTTTGGCTCTGACAGCTGTGATGCATGGGTCTGTGGCCATGAATGAGATGTAATCAAATGAGAATCTGCAGGGCTGGCTGCACAATGCCTGTGAAGGAGTCTTTTCATTCTTTGAGACTACGGTTGAGACTGCTTAAGGGGCATATGTGCTTGGTTCCATGTTAGAAATCTTAGAGAAACTTAAAGAAGCATACCTAGGCAGGTATGGTGGTGCACGCCTTTAATCCCTGCACTCGGGAGGCAGGGGCAGGTGGATCTCTTGAGTTTGAACTTAGCTTGGTCTACAG